CTCTCTCTCTCTCTCTCTCTCTCTCTCTCTCTCTCTCTCTCTCTCTCTCTCTCTCTCTCTGTGTGTGTGTGTGTATGTGTGTGTGTGTGTAGAGGTGGTCCTCTGTTCTAACCTAGCTGTGTGGTTCTGCCTTCTTTTGATGGTCTATGAGACAACTGAGACTAAGATTTAATTATAGATTCTTCTTCAACAAAAATGTATCACATCTATGTCTGTCTGTCTATCTATCTATCTATCTATCTATCTATCTATCTATCTATCTATCTAAGAGAGAGGATGTCAGAGAGTGTTTTGTCTAGGTGTACATGTGCCATAGTGCATGTTGTACATGTGTATAGGTCAGAAGACAACTTGTAGGAACTGGTTCTCTCTACCATGTGAGGCTCTGGGGATCAAACTCAGGTTGTCAGGTTTGACGACAAGTGCCTTTACCCATTGAGCCATCTCAGTAGCTCTGCAGATTCTATTTGAGAGATCATCTTCCCCTGGAAACCTCAGTTAGAAGGGGAATAGCATAAGCTTGCTGTGGAGACCATGGGGTAAAGGACTCTTTGTTCTGGGAGCTGTGGCTTTGAGGGGCAATCAGACTACTAGGAATGGCCTCCCAGAGGGAAGTCTCAGAGTCTATATTAACCAAGCAAGGCATCCTGAAGAGGCCACCAGTGAGTTTGGGGATGGAGTGAAGTGTCTGAGGAGTTCTGGACAAAGCTTACTCTGGGCTTTCCCAAGGGTGGCAGGCAGCCCCTTCTGGACAACTCCACCAGTCCTTTGCTGAAGCTTTACTTCCACCTTCCCAAGCAGTCCCAAGGAACTATATCGAAACTCTTGGGGCTCTGGATCCCTCCATCTTTGGGGTCAGCGGATAGGGCAGTGTGTACAAGGGAGAATGTCATTTGTCCACAACTCTGAGGAATGTTCCCCTGACCTCCCCCCTTCCCAGTGGAGCCAGTCTTTGGAGCGTTCACACTTTTCCACCTTCTTCCTGGCTCTCCCAGCTCTTCCTCAGGCTCTCTGACATAACTCTGTTGGCAGGGCTGTCTTCCCCGGGCACCTAGCAAAGATGCTGGGATACAAGGATCCAAGCACTTTGATAGGATACTGGGGAGCTGTCAGCTGAAAAACCAAGGGTCTGAAGAATGGAGGACAGGGGACCGTTAGGATGTGGCGTGGTGGCAGAGTGCTTGAGTGTTTAATGTGATGGAGGGTGGCCCTGAGTTTAATATCCAGGACCACTAAAGAACAAACAACCAAAAATACTAGAGAGATGGTTCAATGGTTAAGAGCACTGATTGCTCTTCTAGAGGTTCTGAGTTCAATTCTTGGCAACCACATGATGGCTCACAACCATCTGTAATGGGATCTGATATCCTTTTCTGGCATGAAAGCATACATGCAGCTAGAGCACTCACATACATAAAGTAAATAAATAAATCTTAAAAAAAAAAGAATGAAGGTAAACTGGGCAGGGTTGGGTGGGAGCTGATTGCTGCTGGTACCACTTGCCCCAAGAACCATGTCCCAAAAGCCCCGTAGCAACCCTGTGGACGGTAACATTTTCCAGACATACATGTGTAGTGAGTGCATAGCTGGGATCCTCATTCCTACTCTCTGACTGGGGAAGCAGGCTCACTAGCAGACTCCAATTCTCTTCCTCTGCTCTCTGCTAGATCTCCTGTTTGCCAACCGCTCTGCTGTCTTTCTGGGCCCACGGGGCTCCCTAGACCTCCAAGTCATGTACCTGGATGAGTATCGGGATCGACTCTTTCTGGGAGGCCGAGATGCCCTTTACTCGCTGAGACTGGATCAGGCATGGCCAGATCCCCGAGAGGTGAGCTGCACTAATAGGGGTCAAAGTGGGTGCTTCCAGGTGAAGGCCAGATAGAGAAACTGAGATCATGAGATTAAGGGCATTGAGATTGTTTGCTGGCTGTGTTTCAGGTCTTGTGGCCGCCACAGCCAGGACAGAAGGTGGAATGTGTCCGGAAGGGAAAAGATCCTTTGGTGAGTACTGTTGGAAAGAGCCACTCTCCAGCCCATTCTACCGGGGTTCTCAGAATGGCTTGCAGCCACTACCCTGGTGCCTCTGCTGGGAGGACTTGAACCAGGTCCTAAGTGTTTCCGGACATCTGGAGAGAATGTGACCCTCACCATGTCCCCAGAGCTGATATGGAGCAGAGCTGAGCCTTAGAACCCAAGGAGACAGTGTGCCTCACCCTCGGACCCCTTTCTTTTCCTGCAGACGGAGTGTGCCAACTTCGTGCGGGTCTTACAACCCCGTAACCGAACCCATCTGCTGGCCTGCGGCACGGGAGCCTTCCAGCCCATCTGCACCTTCATCACAGTGGGGCATCGAGGGGAGGTGAGCCTGGGCCTGGCCCCTGAGAAGTTGGGAAGCTGTGACATTTCCTCCCCGCTGTCTGAATGTTTCCCATTGAACCAGGGTAGGGCAGAGGGGGCAGGGGCCTGAAAGACGCCTTTGTGCTGGGGTGCTGACCCCATCAGAGAGGCAATGGATAAGGATCTCTTCCCTCACCCCCAACCCTATGCTCCAGTTGCACGCAGAGATCACTGTCTGCTTGAGGCTCTGCTTCTTTCCCAGGTGACTATGTCCTGTGTCCCTTTCCTTCCTCTATGTAGCATGTGCTCCACTTGGATCCTAGCAGCGTGGAAAATGGAAGGGGGCGTTGCCCACATGAGCCAAACCGTCCCTTCGCCAGCACCTTTGTAGGTGGGTGATACCAAGCCAGAGCAAGCCAGGAGGGTGGGAGTTGGCGCATAGCACTGGGAAGAGATGGGGTTTGTTGCTTGGCCTGGCCCTCTCTCCTGACTCTGGTCCTCTCTAGGTGGGGAGCTGTACACAGGCCTCACTGCTGATTTCCTGGGACGTGAAGCCATGATTTTCCGGAGTGGGGGTCCCCGACCAGCCCTCCGTTCTGACTCTGACCAGAGCCTCCTACATGGTGAGGCCCCCTGAGGGCAAGGCTGCTTGGGACCCATCCCTCTAACGGGGAAGAGAGAAGATAGATGAAATGTGGCCCAAGATGAACAGGCCACACCTCCAGTTCCTGGGGTGGGTGGGGAGCCATGTGGCTTCCCTGTCACATCATTACCGTGTCACCCTCTCAGACCCCCGGTTTGTGATGGCTGCTCGGATCCCAGATAACTCTGACCGGGACGATGACAAGGTGTACTTCTTCTTCTCTGAGACTGTCCCATCACCTGATGGTGGCCCAGGTCATGTCACCATCAGCCGTGTGGGCCGCGTCTGTGTGGTAAGAGCCATGGCGAGGTTCGAGACCCCTGTTGTGACCTCTTTCCTAGACTGTCCCTCCATAGTAGAGAAACCGAGGCAAGGATACAGTGCTGACATACATCCCTCTATCTGTGGTTGATGGTAGAGGAACAAGAGGTAGGGCCCATACTCACAGGGCAAAAAGCTGACTCTACCCTCCATTCCCCAGAATGACGCTGGTGGCCAGCGAGTGCTGGTGAACAAATGGAGCACCTTCCTCAAGGCCAGGCTGGTATGCTCTGTGCCTGGCCCGGGTGGGGCAGAGACTCACTTTGACCAGCTGGGTAAGGGAATGGCCAACCAGGCCTAGGTTCTGGGAGTGGGGAGAGCTCGGAGCTGGTAAGTCAGTTCATTGGCAGTAGCTATAACGCTTATGCCTCTTTCTGTGTCCCAGAGGATGTGTTCCTGCTGTGGCCCAAGGCAGGGAAGAACCTCGAGGTGTATGCACTGTTCAGCACCGTCAGGTGGGCACACATGCGCCCCTGTACCCCACTACCCCTGGTCTCTGTACCAGGCTGGTTTTTCTATTAAGCCCCTGCCCTCATTCCACTGACCTTCGATGGTCTTTCTCCTTGATTTGGTGACTATTTTCTGATCTTCATCTCTGTTTTGTCTCTGCCTTTGTGTCTTGTGTCCCAGTCTTTGTTTTCAGCAGCCACTGTCATCTTCTTTATCACTTATAAAGTCAGCTTGGGTCCCCCTTCTCCCAACCCACCTTGGCCTGGCCTCACTGTCTCTGTTTGCCTTTGGCAGTGCTGTGTTCCAGGGCTTTGCTGTCTGTGTGTACCACATGGTAGACATCTGGGAGGTCTTCAATGGGCCCTTTGCCCACCGAGATGGTCCTCAGCATCAGTGGGGACCCTATGGGGGCAAGGTGCCCTTCCCCCGCCCTGGTGTGGTAAGTAGCTTCTTAGGGTCAGGCAATAGAGGCCTAAGTAGCAGAAGGACTTCTGCATAGAAAGCCTCCAGTTTACATGCAGCCTACTTGGCAGTAGTGGACTGGGCCTCTGGAGGGTTTGGGAGGAGAGTCTCTGCTGTGTGCATGACCCCCTAGAGTTGGAAAGAGGCTGGGTAGCGCCGTCCTAGGGACTTCAAATGTTCCCTCTGCTGCTGCTTGCAGTGTCCTAGCAAGATGACTGCACAGCCAGGCCGACCCTTTGGCAGCACCAAGGACTACCCAGATGAGGTGCTGCAGTTTGTCCGAGACCACCCACTCATGTTCCAGCCTGTGAGGCCTCGGCGTGGCCGCCCTGTCCTGGTCAAAACTCACTTGGCTCAGCAATTGCGCCAGATTGTGGTAGACCGAGTGGAGGCTGAGGATGGGACCTACGATGTCATCTTCCTAGGGACTGGTAAGAAGGCTGAACAGAGGTAGCCAGGTTTGTGTGTGTGTGTGTGTGGGGGGGTGTAGCTTCTTGTCTCATTAACCTTTGTTCCCCAGATTCAGGTTCTGTGCTCAAAGTCATTGCCCTTCAGGGTAGTGGCTTGACTGAACCCGAAGAGGTTGTTCTGGAGGAGCTCCAGGTGTTTAAGGTAAGCAGGGGTTAATGAAAGGCTCCACCTCCCACCCCTGGGCTTGGGGTAGGCTCCAGGAGAGTGAACCTAGAGGAGAGGCTCAAAATATGGCACACACTGCTGAAGTGGCTGGAGATGCTACAGAATTACTGGGAGAGCTGGAGGCTCTCAGGCTATGGACTCAAGATGCCTGCTACTCTCTGGGGACGTTTGACAAAGCCTTGTGAGGCTCAAGTTGCAGTGACAAAGTAGCTAAGACTCCAAGTCCCCCTCCCACACATACATGTAACTGGACAGGGATTGTCTGTGTTTGGGGGCTATTTTGCCTCTGGACATGAGATTAATGACTTTGGACAGCTGGCTCATGGCTGGGGAACATTGTGGAAGGAGACAATAGAACTCTGTGCCAAGCCTCCCTCTTGGAAGCCAGCCAGGATGAGGGTACCTTCCTGGATATCTGGGAAACACTCCCCTGCTCCCTGCCCCCCCCCCCTGTCTTTTTTGAGACAAGATCTTGCTATATATCCTTGGCTGGCTTGGTGTACACCATGTTAACTAAGCTGGATTCAAACTTATGGAAATCCACCTGCCTCTGCCTTCTGACTGCTGGGATTAAAGGCCTGCACGACCACACCCAGCATGTGTTTGTATTTTTGAGACCATGTCTTTCTCTGTAGCTTAGCTTAGTTTGAAACTTATTATAGAGAACAGGCTGGCGGTGAACTCCCTATCTGCCTGCCTCAGCGGCTCCAGAGCTGAGGGTACGGGTATCACCTTTCCCCAATCCTGTCCAGCCTTTGCTGCCAGGAGGCACAGTGATCAGGTGAGGGGCAACTGGCTCCCCCTCACCTCTGGGCTTGGGCAATGGTAAAAGCAGGGAAGCTAAGCAGAGCCTTCAGCCACCCATCCTAAGAACCCATTCCTTCTCTAGGTGCCAACACCCATCACTGAGATGGAGATCTCTGTCAAAAGGGTAAGGCCAGTCCCTGTATCCCCTCTCCTAAACTTGTTGTGGACTCCACTGGAGAGCTATTGCCTGTGTGTGTGTGTGCCTGTGTATGTGTGCCTCTGTGTTTGTGTGTGTGCCTGTGTGTGTGCCTGGGTGCCTGTGTGTGTGCCTGTGTGCCTGTATGTGTGTGTGTGCCTGTGTGCCTTTGTGTATGTATGTACCTGTGTGTGTGCCCGCGTGTGTCTCTCTGTGTGTGTGTGTGTGTGCGTGCCTGTGTGCGTGTGTAGGGCCAGAGGACCTCCTCAGGTGCTGCTCATCTGTTTTGAGACAGAATCATCATCATCGGCCTAGAGCTTGCCAATCAGGTTGGGATGGCTGGCCAGCAAGCCCTAAAGCCTGTGTCTCCACTTCCCCAGCCTGGAACTGCAAGTGAAACCTCAATATCCTGCTTTTTTCACATCTAGGTTCTGAAGACTGGGCTCGGGTCTTTTGTGCCGAAGCACTTGATTGAGCCATCATCCCTAGCCTCTGGGCATAAAACCCAACTTTAAAATATATTTTATTTATTTTGGTAAAGCCCTGCCAAGCCCAAGTTGCAGTGAGCAAGGCAACGAGTCTACAGGGCCCTAAAAGTTCTCGTGGCAAGCGGAAACTAGAGATCAGAAAGCAATTTGTAGGTGCTCAATCCTCTCCTCTTACCGTGTGGGACAGAGGGGAACAAACTCAGATTGTCAGGTTAGGCGGCCAGCACCATTTTCTGCTGAGCCATCTTACTGGTCTACAGCTCAGCTTTTGTACTGGGAGTACTGTAGACATGCAGCCCAATGGCCACATGCAGTTGAAGACAGCCATGCTTGTGGCCCAACACAAACTCATAAACTTATTTAAAACATGAGTTGTTTTTATTTTTTTCTAATTTGTTTTTGGTAGCTTGGTTGCTCATACATGAACTTTGCACATGACAGCTTCATATCACAGGGCCAAAAGGTTAGACATGCCTGCAAGGTACCACTCTAAAGCCAGAGGCCAGCCACAGAGTCCATTAGGCTAGAGGCAGAGGTTGGATGCAGAGAAGGCCTTTCTTACAGAAAAGACCCCCAGCTCCACCCCCACCTACTCACAGCCTAGCATGGGCTCTGGAATACATTCAGCATCTCTATCCTTGTGAATGATTTCAAGAAGTTCTGGAAGCCATCCTGAAACTGATGGGTCTCAGGAAAGCCTAGGGGTTGAGAGCCTGTTGGTGAAGCCCAGCTCACTGGGGCTCTGCTTGTGTTCCTTCCCCAGCAAACGCTGTATGTGGGCTCTCCACTGGGTGTGGCCCGGCTGCAGCTGCACCAGTGTGAGACTTATGGCAGTGCCTGTGCTGAGTGCTGCCTGGCCCGGGACCCATACTGTGCTTGGGATGGTACTTCCTGTGCCCGCTATCGCCCCAGCTCTGGCAAGCGAAGGTTCCGTCGGCAGGACATACGACATGGCAACCCTGTTGTGCAGTGTCTGGGCCAGGGCCAGAGCCAAAACAGTGAGTGGTGGGCCCTGGAATGTGGATCACCCTTTGAACTGGGCTCCATCCCTGGGAAGCATGGGCTTGGAAAAGTCCTGATGTAATAAAGTCCTCAGTTTCCCTATCTGTGCAGCTACATGGAGACTTAGGGTAGTGTCACCTAAGTCCTCATCACACAAGTGTCCTGTGGGAGTTTGTCTATGGCCCTCAGACATATGGGTCCCCTAGTTTCCTAGCTGACCTGACCTGGTCCTCTCTACAGAAGAAGCTTTGGGATTGGTGACCCGAGTCTTTGGCACAGAACACAACAGTACCTTCCTTGAGTGCCTGCCCAAGTCTCCTCAGGCTGCAGTGCGCTGGTTCTTACAAAGGCCAGGGGATAAGGGAACTGACCAGGTGAGTAAAGACCCTGCTTAGACATCCATTTCTCTCCCTGAATCCCAAATCCTAAGCTCTAGAAAGAGACTCTGGAATGAGTTAGCCAAGATCTTCCTGAGAAAAATGTGTATTATACCTTGGGGTACCTATGAGGAGCTGCCCCCATTTCTGCTTCTGCAAGTGACTAGGCTGCCTGTAGCTCCAGCCTCCCTAGTCTGTGAGGGGGTGCCTGAGGGTGAGGAGAGGGAATGGGGATTAAGTTGTTCTGGAAGTTCTCATGCTAACGCATGTGGCTCAGCTTTGAAGGGATCCCTTCTCTAGAGTTTCTTAATTCTTCTCTGCCTCAAGTCTGGTCCCTCCCTCCCAATCCTAGCCTTATGCTTCTTCTCTCAGAAGCAAGTTATCTGCTCAAGTCTTCTTTTCCTCCTTACTGGGAAGGTTTGTCAACCCCTAAGATGGCTTCAGTCTAGGGCTTGAGGCCAAGCATGGGCAGAGCAGAGGCTGGAACTGCTTTCCCATGGGGAGGGGGAAAAAGGAGGGGCTTGGTTACAGGAGGGGGTCTTCCTCCAGCTCAGGAGCCAGGGGAGGCAGGCCTGGGACCAGCTGTAGGGCTGAGCACTGAGGAGACTCCCTGGAGTAGGGAGAGCAGTAAGATGAGGTTACACAATGCTAACCACCCAAGCAGTTCACCCTCAGCGCTCGGATGCACAGACGGTTAGCAGAAGAGCTTGGGATCCGAGTCAGCTCTTGCCTCCCACACTCAAGTGGGCACTTAGCCCACCCCAGGCCTGGGCTGTGGGCCTCACACTGTGAGGGAGTGAGCAGAACAGACCAAGACAGGGAAGACCCAGCATGTGTGTGTGCCTCTGTGTCTGTGTGCCTGTGTGTGTAAATGTGTGTGTGTGTGTGTGTGTGTGTAGAGTTTTCTTTAGCTCAGAGTAAAACCTCATAGACACAAACCTAGCTCCTCAGCTCCCTGGGTACTTGTGCAGACTTCTCTGAAAGTCTTAGGGCTCTGACCTGGGGACACACAACCATTCAGTAAGCCTTCTTCGTAGGTCCTTGTCCTGCTCTGCAGAAAGGTGAGACCTTCTTGCCTGAAATTAGCGCTTGGTCTGTCTGAGATCTTGTCAAACGGTTAGGCCAACCTTGAGAGAGAGGGAATAGGCAAAGGGGGGAGGGAGGGCAGGGCTTGGACCCCAAGAATGGTAACCATGGAAAAGCAGAGTAAAGAAAATGAGGTGAATGTTCTCCCCCACTCTTCCTTGCTTAAGTCTCCTGTACCTCCCTACACCCCCTCCAGGTGAAGACAGATGAGCGAGTTGTGCAGACGGATCAGGGGCTGCTGTTCCGAAGGCTCAGCCGCCTTGATGCAGGAAACTACATTTGTACCACTCTGGAACATGGCTTCTCCCAGACTGTGGTTCGTTTTGCCCTGGAGGTGATTGCATCTGTGCAGTTGGACAGCCTGTTCCTTCGGGAGCCAAGGCTAGAGGAGCCCTCAGCCTGGGGAAGCCTGGCATCTGCCTCACCCAAGACTTGGTATAAGGACATCCTTCAGCTAACTGGTTTCGCCAACCTGCCGCGTGTGGATGAGTACTGTGAACGCGTGTGGTGCAGGGCTGTGGGGGAGCGCTCAGGCTCCTTCCGTGGAAAGGGAAAGCAGGGGAGGGACAAGAGCTGGGCGGGGCTAGAACTGGGCAAGAAGATGAAGAGCAGGGTGCTGGCTGAGCACAACCGGACACCCCGGGAGGTAGAAGCCACATAAGATGACTGAGGAGGGGATGGTCGGGCTGGGCTGGGGGACTCAACACTAGCTCTCTCCCACCCAGCTAGGAAAGAGGAGTCCAGGACATCTGATTACCTCTTAGAGGCAATCTCTACTACCTACAGGAAAGTCTAGGCTGGTGGGAGGGGCCTTGCACCTCAGCCTACCCCTGCCTTTCTCCGTGTTCTCAGTCCCAGGCTACAGCTGGCACCTCCAGACCACTTGTATTCCCAAGGGGCCTGCTATTTGTTCTCAGAGATGGTGTGGCTTCCGGAACACATTTCCGGTTGTGCCCAGAGGCAAGTTGGGTGGTTCTTTCCCAGCTTGACGAACAATGGCCATTCTGAGTGACCCTCCGAGGGGGTGTATGGGTGGCTCTGAGGGAGTATATTGGCAGTCCACCAGAAGAGGGGAAAGTAGAGTCCTAAGGTAGTACCTGATAAGAAACACTTGCCCCAACAAAGTTGTGAGAGAAGGTAGAGGCGCCGAGGAGGTGGGGTTGCACTGTTTATCTGTCTCCATGCCTTGGAATCTAGATGGCTCCCTACCTCAGCCCACTACCATCTCATACTCACAGAGGCAAGAACTGCTGGAACCTGGAGGCTGCCTGGGCCTGGCTCCCTTTTTAAACCAGGAAGAGTTGTCTCATAGTATGATACCCCTTTCCCAGGTCCCCAATTGTCAGGCCAGGCTTGCTGGGGTGCCCACACCTCACCATCACAGTCACTTCCTGAGGATCGGAGGAAGGTTCTGTGGACCAAAGAGAGGATGAAGGGAGCTGGAGGGGAAGCGTGGGCTACCTTTCTAAGGGTGAGAGGGGCAGGCTCAGGCCTGTGAGGTTAGCAGTGGACAGACACTCAGAACTGCAGCCAGTGGTCACGATCAGCATTCTGGACTTTGTCTAGACCCACAGAGAACTAGAAAGAGGTGGGTCTATAGGTCCATGAGCAGGTGTCCTCAAGAGTCAAAGTGACATCAGTTGGTTCAGGAGCCACAGGGCAGGCCAGATATTTCCAACCCTGGAGTCTCTATTGAGGGTGGTCATGATGGTTGGTTTATAAGACTCCCATGTTTACTGTGGTACTTGGGATTGAATCTAGGGGTCTCATGTGTGCTAGATAAATACCACTAAGTTAAAGCCCAGCATTCTCTCTATAGGAGATCACAAAGAAAGAAAGCTGGTATGGTAAATCCTGCTGCTGGGGGTGGGGGGTGGGGCTGAGTGACAAGGGCTTATCTGGTCTGGGTTTAGGGGAGGAGCTTTGTCATCAGCAGTTTCTGCAGCTGGGGAGCAGAGAGGGGGAGGAGGACAATTAAATGAAAAATTATTCCCAGCCTGAGGGTGAAGAAGTTAGTGACGCACAAGACGGACAAGAAGGCATGTCTGAGTTCCCTCCTTTGAAAAGGGGGAGGGGAGGGTGGACCCGGGGCGGGCGCCCGGGGGGGGAGATGAAAAAGCAAGAAAGAGCTTTTTGCGGCACCAAAGGTCAAACCCGAGGACCCTGGGTTTATTTCCTCTACCCTGCCCCGCCCCAGGCTGCTGAGTTCTAAGCTTGCACCCTTTGCTTATCTGGAAACAGAAGCCCTGAAGTCTACTTGCCCAAATCCAGATTCCTTCTGTTTGTGGGTGCGGTCCCTTGGGATACTGGTGGATAAAAGAAGAGGAGAAAGGAGTGGGTAAAAGCTGGAGAAGGGTTGGGGAGACAGAGGAGATGGAAGGGGTGGAGGAGACCCTGAGAAGACAGAAGGTGGCAACCTAGCCCCCAGTGGCATTTGGACTGAGTCTAGGTTTGGCAAGCTTTGGGCAGGGTCCTTTAGGGAAGTGGCCCTGGAAAACACAGGGAGAAGGAACTCAATATCCTAAACAGTGTATCCCTATACTTGGGAACATAGACAGCTCTTGCTGACTGCCACCTTCCCCATGGTACTGTACTACGAGCACCCTGAAAATGCCCATATGTGTGAATTGTATCTGTGTTAGTGTTTTGAAATGAGCCTTCTGGCTTCTTGGTCTTTCAGGCATACTCATTGAGATTGCTTTTGATATTTTTATTGTCATGTTGCCCTTGAGTTCTGATGAGAAAAGCAGAGCCTATAAAGAAAGGAATGAAGAACTATTTATATCACGTAATCATATCATGACTGTATCTGTGTACCTTTGTACTAAACTAATGGATACCAGCTACGAATGAGGAAGGAAGAGTGCTGTGTGTTCCCGGAAATGTTCAGCCTGTATGGCACTTTCTTCTAGCAGACAGGGAGATGTGTGGCAACGGAAGGGGTCTGAGGGTTTTGCCTGTAAAGCAAAGATTGCTCAATACACAAGGAAAATCCTGTCCTGAAGGTTTATAAAGCTGACCTTCTTGGAACTTCCGAAGGATTTTGAGGAGGCAGGGGAAGCTGGCAAAGGGCAGACAGGCACGTAGGCAGCTCTGCTGCTTTTACACAACACTCGACATTTGTAACAGTGCCTCTTAGCCTGCTGCTGCCTTCTTCCCAAGCCATGTACTAATACATATTAAGCCCACTAAAATCATGCCCAGGCCAGGCTAGGCTACAGCTTCTGGGGAGGAGGGAAAGCCTTGGGAGTGAGCTCCGGAGCATGCTCAGAAGGCCTTCTGACCATGATCCCCACTGCTCCAGTGACATCCTGCCCAAAGTATAGACTACAATGATACTAGGTGAAAATGGAAAAAAATTATAGGAACATTTCAAAGATTGATGGACGGCAGCCTACCTCCCCTGGAAGCTAGCCTGGGGCATCTAGCTTGCCTAAATCCCTTGGGAGATTAACAAAACAGGCCGGGCCACTGCTCTTATCTTGTAAATTGGCCCCTCCACAAACACCTAGGCTTGACTGAACCTGAAGCTCCATTGCCCCAGCCCAAGCCACCATTGCCACCATTGTACCTGGCAGTGGCCCAGCGAAGAGTACAGGTATGGCCCTCACAGCCTCTGCTCCCAAAGTCTCCCCCACCTTCCCTTCCCTCACACTTGTCAGCTCAAGCCCAACTTCTGGCCTCAGTAATTTCACCTTCTCTCTATCTTTGTCCCGCAGCCTTTTCCTCTGTGTCTCACACTTCCCCTGGTATCTGGATCCCTGGTTCATGATTTCCCACACAGGTTTAGAGCTGAAGAGAGCCTGGGCCAAAGAGTTAAATGTTGCCGGAAGGGCGTCCTGAGAACTGCTAATCCCTGGAAACCTTCCATGACCTCCTGCTCTTGATGGTCTGTCAGATTCCAGAATTTGTGTGCTCACGGCTGCCCCAGGCCTGGGTGCTCTCTGCCCTGTGGAGTCCTGTGCTGGTGTCTCTCCCAGCTCCTACCTACTGTGGCATGGCCTTTTGCCTTTTGTTTTCATTTTGGCAGGGCTGCTGACGTCTCTCTCTGGTGTTCTCAAGAGCACGTTTTGGAAAAGTGCTGATTAGATTAACTCCCTCCTGTAACACATGAGATTAATTTGTTAATTGTTGCCTCCCACATTTGTAAGCACGACAGGTCCTACCTCCCAGATGTCAGCCTCCACTTCTTTCACTAAGATAGGTCCTTCTGCCCTGGGGGCAGAGCAGGAAATCCTCTAGCATCACAATACTTGAGTCTGGGGTCTTTCCTGTCCTGGCTTCCATTCTCCCACTCTTAGCCTGCCTCCTCAGCCTCTTCTGGCTCTTCCAGTATCTAGCATGGTTATCTGTGTGTGGAGTTGGGCATGGCTGAGTTTCACCTCAAGCCTGAGGTGACATTGAACAGAGCAGTTTCTCAGGGATGGTGGAGAGCTTGTCAGAACAAGAGCAAATATACCCCTCTGCTCTCCCATTTGGCTTCTGTGATTCTCATTCATTTAGCCAAGCTTGGAACAGGTCCTAGACACCCAAGAATCTTGAAGAATGGGCATGTAGCAGCTACCAGGAGATGGCTTCCTTTTAGGCAGTCGACTTTGCAGCCTTGCCAGCAACCTGTCTCCACTTAGGACCTGGAAGATCGGCTCATGTGCCTGCCAGTTCAATAACGGAGGTTCCTCTATGTAGCACCATTTTCTTAAAACTCGGAGGTGGGGTACTCAGAAATAGTCCATTTTCATCTGCAATAAGGAGCCAGCTCAGGCTCACTTATGTCCTGGGCTGGAGGAGGTTGGACGGAGAAGCTTGAACCCAAAAAATAAATCTCCATGTTTTTCTAAGACTGTAGACTTGGAGGGAAAGGGGCAGGCAGGGCCAGATTTGGACACAATATCTGATAAGAAGCTTGGGGATTGTTGGGGTCCCACCCTGGCTCCATTTCCAGACTCGCCTACTTCTCTGGTATATGGGAGATGAGGAAGGCAGCCATGGCCTGGTGCCTACTTCCTACTGACCAGCCTGTTCACCTTGGCCCCCTTCCTTCCAAGGCTGCCTCATAATGAAGGCTTTCACTTTCTGAGCCACAGTTTCATTAAGGAAATTTCTAGTTCCTCAATCATTCTCTGTCGGGAATAAGAGCTGCTGCAAGGTCTCCAGGGAGGCTTGAAAGGGATGCTGGGATCTCCGACCGCAGGCCTCCAGCAGCCAGCTGGTGGCCTATTTCCAGGAGCTCTGCTGATGGGATTTTGGGGAGGAATAGGCTCAAAGTTTCTAATCCAACAACCATATCTGTTTCCCATGGACAGAGACGAACAACCAGGTCCATCAGAAAATTGTGACCTGATGACGTTAATTAAAAAAAAAAAGTCCCAGGGCAGAGTCCAGGTGTCTACCTTCCAACAGAAGGGGGCTGTACTAGGAACACATGACATCCAGATTGTCCTGTTGGGAAGTCAAGGCAGCTCTGGTCTCCCATATACACATATAGAAGAATGACATTCAGAACAGCAGCCTGCTTTGTGGACATGATGTCATTGTCCACACCACCTCCACCCGCCTCAGCTGATAAGAATCTGGTGCTGTTTCCTGTAGTCCAAGGGTCTTGGACAATAGTGTGAACTGCTGGCCCGAATGGAAAGGGCATTGTTCAGGGGAGAAAAAACAACACCCCAACACAAAGCCAGGGCAGGATTTGTCTAAATGTAAGAGGCTGTTTACAAATTCACCATTCCCAAGGAATGGAACACAATGGGGAATGCTTCCTTGAGGATGGCGTCCCTTCTAGTCTGATCTCGATGCCTAGGGATGCCTTTGAAGGCCCAGACAGGTTTCAGATGCACTTAGAAGGATGGACACTGGTGGCTCGGAGGCCTTCCTGTTTATGAGGCATGTATGCAGGCTAGGGTCAAGAAGCCAGGGTCAAGGGGGGAGGGGCTGTGAGGCTTCACTCCCACTCTGGGCCTCATGATCTCTCATTCTTTAAAATGGAGTTTCCTTGCTTGGTCACTAAGGAGTCTTCTTTTATCTGGTGGCCTCCATGATGCTGTGACTCACCTCCTGTCAACATGGAACAGGGACCGGGCAGGGATGGTGGAGGCAGAAGTATGGAAGTTGACGCTCTGTCCCTGGATCAGAGCCAGTAGAGATGCTACTTTTCACAGCATCTCTGTCTTGTCCATAGAGGTTGGAGCCTTTGGAGCATCAACCACAGACTCGTGTGCGCATGTGCCTTTCTGTGTTTGCATGTGTGCACATGTGTGTAAGTATATGTAGTAGGAAGGCAATGTAGAAGAGCGATAGAACCATACCACATAACCCTTGGGAATGGGAATCGCCAGTTGGTGGGGGTGGGGTGCCACACCAGGGTCAGGAAGGCCCCTTCGAGGCCAGAGGAGCTTTTATAGGCAGTCTTGTTCAAAAATGTGACCCCAGTAGCAGTGCTATTGTTAGTTTTGATACTTACCTCTAAGCCTAACATAAACACACTTCGTGAATGAACTTGAACTAGTGTGTTTAATACAAGTGAGGAGCATTAATTAAAGCTGTGTGATCCACAACAGGGGTTTCCCCATCTCCTTCCTCAACTTGCTAACACTGCCCTCTGGTGTGCAATAGCAGAACAACATGATTAAGAACCCAGTGTGAATAGATAGCAAACTGCCTCTGAATGCCAGTGGAATTCTGGACTCCCAAACATGAAACATGAAACGGCAAACATGAAGAGAGGCAAATAAAGCAGGTCTTGGACTTCAAGGGGCTTCCAATCCAGCAGTAGATACAGACCTACTGTTGTAGGACTGACAGAGGACATGGGTTCCAAGGGTACCAGCAGAGACCAAAAGTAAGAACCCAGTGACAAGGAGGTGGCCATGGCATTCAACAGGCTGAGGATGAGAGTCAGGGACCTCCATGCTGGGGACCCGAGGCCCAGCTGTTCAAGAAAGGACAAGGCAGAAAGCCCATGGGTAAGGTGCTGTGGGAGGCCCAGCTGTGCAGGGCCCTATTTGCAAAAAGGCCACAGATGACAATTCTAAGCAAAAGCTACCTCAGGTTA